GATTACATGGGTGTGTGAAACTAAAAAGGCTGAATAGTTAATGCTCAAATGATTTAGGGTTGGTACTATACTTTGGCAAAAGGTGAAAGGGTAGCTTCTAAGTATGACAAGGGATTTAGAGGGAATGGGATTGATGTCCATGTGACCAAAATGATAGTAACAATTTTGTACTCTATTGATGATTTAAAATAAAACCTTACATATATCCATTGAAATGGAAGAATCCATCCATGTTGTTTGGGGTTTTATTAAATTTTAAGGGCACACACAGATGACAGATCAAAACCCCACCATCAAGCCCTAATTAGTTTATTAATTAAACACTGTGAGTAGGTTAGTAACTAGTTATGATTGAATACCAAAGGAATCTTTCCATGTTATGGCCAACTAGGGGTATCGAAACCCAGAAGCACAGACGACAAAAGTAACCAAATTATGCTAATATTTGTTATAATTTTCTTGAGTTTTCTTTTTGTTCTTTGATCACAAATGCTTAATGGGTGGTGCTACTTTGTTAATGAAAAATCAGATCTAACCTAGAGCGAGAGAATTATACCTACGTAGACCCAAGTATTAAAGGGATTGAGATTAAATATCAAAGATACCATCAAGCAAACATATTTATCTACATTCTTTTAACAAAAAAGTGAAATACAATCTGTCATGCATAGATTGCATTTTGCTTAACCGTTAAATGATATTGAAGGCCCACCTCTATATCTTTTTTTTTTTTTTGATCGGCAGGCCCACCTCTATATCAATATTTAAAAATAGTGTGTAGTTTATTCATAAGGTGAATTATACTACAACATTACCTTCTGTTAGTAAATAGTAAATCCCTAGTGGTAGAAGTTGAGGGCTCACAACTTTGTTCAACTTCCATGTATGCAAGTTTATGTCCAGATAAGTAGATGTAATTTATAATAGGGTAATTTATAATAGAGAAATGATTGATACACCCTTCGATTCAATACCCTTAACAATACTTTTTGGTTTGTTATTAAAAATATAATATAAATATAGTCAATTCAACCGGTTCCTGTATCTTGTGTGTATGATTGTATTATTAAACTTATCTGTTTTTAATTTCAAACTAAAAAATAATAATTTTTTAATGACTAAACCGAAAAATATTATTAAAAATGTTGAATCGGATGGTATAGCAATCACTATACATGTTCGACTGTATCTCACATTAAAAAAAAAAAATCTCAAATTTAACCTACAAAAAACTGACAAACATGATGATAGTAGCGCAGTAGTTGGAGCAGGTGGCAAGGTCACCTCCTCCCTGCGCAGATAGGATGCGGGTTCAAGTTCAGATGCTCCCCTCCCATAAATTCATGTCTTCTTAAACATTTAAATTGTTATGTGAAAACGGAAAAGAATTAATCAATAAAAGACAACTAGCAAAGTAGGGAAAATGCACTATGGATACTGTGGATCAGAGGTAAAATTATCTGTATTTTTAGCTATGCATAGGAATAGAGTACAATTCTTAGTGAATAAATAAAAAATAAAATGAGAAGAGAAAATGCGTAACGGGAGGGGAAAAACAAAAAGAGGAAATTATGAAGGGAAACAGGAGGAAATGGAGAGAAGTTGTGCACAGAATCAAACACGGTGCTGCCACCAACCACCATTTCCCTCAGAAAAATCCTTAAACAATGGATTAAAAACTCAGAAATCTCACATGGGAACGTGTGTGGGAGTGGTGCAATAGTATTTAACATCAAATTTTAAGAAAGAAAAAGGTGTGAAGAAGGGAAGATATGGGAGCCATGTGAAACCGCAGCTCCTTTCTCCCTATTATTAGAGAGAGAGAGTATAAGGATTTAAATCTGGTAATTACAATATTTATATAATGATACTAATAAATTAATAATTAAAAAATATTTATCAACAAGATATATAAAAAATTAAGTGGAAACTCATTTAAAATTAAGTAGATTCGATAAATTTTCATTTAAAAACATTAAAACATTATAATTTTAAAGTTAGAATAAGGTTGTTTTAATTTTTTTTAATATTTTATTAAAATAATATAATTTTGAGTTTTTTATTATCTTGTTATTTTTACAAGTTTGGTTAATCAACACTACTACTAATATCTAATAATTAAGAAGAAACTAGAGATTTATGTGTTGTAATATATTTTGAGGCCGACGTGCTCCCACATGATCTTATAATGCTCATGCATGTATGTGTTTTTTCATGGATCGTAAAAGCAGGGATGGGAAAGTGCACGTGGAACGTGCATGAGTTGTTGTTGAGCCCATGTTGAGGTAGGACCAACACCCAAAGTCCTAAAGTACACAAATCTCCTCAATTATTAGGAATTAATAATATTGCAATTATATCATTTGTGATTATGTGTTTGATCTAATGTTTGGGTGCTTTAAGATCTTTAGATGAGTAAGTCTCACTTAAGATTGATTTTTGGGTTTGTAATGATGCATCATAATTGCGATGTTTTAAACATTAAAAGGGGGAAGTAGGCATTGTGTGGTGGTAGTAGGGGAAGTCCCAATTTTTTATTTTGGGTAGGAAGAAAACAATCTTTGGTCCAAAGGTAAGGAATATCTTTAGCACAAATCATAATATATATGACATGGTGTTTTAACTCAATAAGATTGTTGGCAATAATTTAGCTATAAATTTTTTAAAATATTTTATATAATATTCCATGAGTTAAGATTAATTTATAACTGTAAGTATTACATTAGTTTTCATTTTCAATATTTCATTTCAAAATTTTAACAAAAATTGGACAATTTTCTCATGTTTAAATTATTTTTCTTTTATTCAAATGTAATTATAATAGAATCCAAAGTAGGGCCTATGATTGTCAAGTACTTTTTCAAAACATTTTGAGGCTTGGGTTAGGGTCAGTGCCTAGAAGCTAGAATAGAATAATTTTCCCATGTTTAACTTATTTTTCTTTTATTCAAGTGTAACTATAATAGAATCCAAAGTAGGGCCTATGATTGTCAAGTACATTTTCAAACCATTTTGAGGCTTGGGTTAGGGTCAGTGCCTAGAAGCTAGAATAGAATAATTTTCTCATGCTTAAACCATTTTTTCCAACTCTTTTGGTATCGAAAATAGGCTTATACATATATATATTTTTACAAAGTAATAATTAAAAAGTTAGTATGAGTTAATTGTTAACAACTGATTTTTAAATTGGGTGAACATTCTACCCCTCAAATGAGACGCGCGGCCATCAGCCCATTTTTTGGTAGAGTTTACGACGATAATAGAGTTCAAAACTCCGACCACCTCACCCAAACACTTAACGCTTGCAATCAAACCATTGGGTCTAAAAACCTGGTTCAGGCGTATACATATCTATTTTCTCATGTTTCAACTATTTTCCTTTTTACTTTTAAGGACCCAAGGCACGGCATAATTTCCATTCCATGTCTGCATCCAGCCCACAATTATGTGATATTAGAACAAACAGCCCAACTCCTCACTCAATAGAATGCCAAAAAAGGAAAAATTCTCAATTCAATCGCACCCTCAACCTCAAGCTTAGGTCGTGATAACCTGATCATGACAGCGGCATTCTGAACTTCGGTGGGCAGATTGCCACGCACCAAAGCCCTCCAAGAGAATGGGTAGGGTGCATCAGGGACTTCAATACCATATCTAGTGAGATGATGCATCATGAGTCTAATTTTCAGTGGGAAACCTAAAAGCATATTACATTATGCACATTCTAATTTATAAACCATATTAAGACAGAATGAAAGCATAAATTCTATGTAAGGTAGTGAAAGAATTGAGAAACATTTAGCAAAAAATGAGCAGATAAATCAAACATTTCCGATAATCTCTTAAGTAACTGGACCATGTAATGCGTATATTTCTCAAAGCCATTCCCTAAAGAAGAGGAATTAAAGGGCACAATGGTGGCTGCTGGTAAAATTAGCCATCTTCAACACTCTATATATCATACAAGTAAATAATTTCCCTTCGGGTTTTGTCTAATAAATAAGAAGACACCCTTTACGGAGAAAAAGATGAAAATAAGGGAAAAACAACCCTATAGACAGTTTTATAATCACTATGAACCCAGGATAAATGCATGTATCTCAGCCCAACTAGAGACTGTATATAAAATGCCAGAAAGCCCTTTCCAAGTAGAAGAACTACCTTCAACTAGTTGTTTCTGCTTCTCCACCAAACCAGAAAACAATGGGACAAAGGAAACACCAAATTGGTCTCCCAATCTTCTCAGGCTTGGACTTGAACACATCACAATGCCTACATCTGCCTCAAGCAAGCAGAGTAAATCACCAATTGAAGCTCCAACATAAATTGCTAAGTTCTGGCCATCATTGTTGCGTTTCCTTAAAATGTTACGAAAGGCTTGAAGCTTTTCCATGGGAGACTCCACTTTCTTAACTATCTCACCAGTGGATATGGACTCCTCGTAAGATAACTCATTGGAGTATATGTTCAGTGCATTTAGATCTCCTGCTCATCGTAAAGGAGTTAAAAGAGAATTAGAGGGGGAATAAGAAGAGACAGGAACTTGAATGCACAGGATCTACAATGCAGCTTTCCTCCTAAAAAAAAATGATCTATGATGCAGCTCAGAATTCAAAATACATTGACTTCAAGCATAAATAGACTTAAACCTTTTCTTGGTCAAACATTTCTTTGCTGGGCCTGTTGCTTGTGAAAAGAAAAAAAAGGTGTGAAATCATGGTACTTAGTCTTCCATTTAAAATAGCAAAAGCACCCAGTTTTATGAATTTAATTTTGACAATCATGTAAATAAGCTACAGCCATCAAAACTGGCAAGCAAAAAGTCCATAGTTGTTAAGGCGCTTAAATCCTTAATTTACTAACTAAATATCTTTACCCCCTCCACCAACAAATATGATGCGGTACCATTATTTCAGATCTTTCCATACCTTTTCATGTAAAAAAATTTCAAGGCATAATTGTTAAGAGAACCATAGTTTCATTATAACTTATCTTTTGGATGGTTGAGCTTTATTATAACTTGATCAACTGTTTTACTGCATTTTCTAAGAGTCAAAAAGAGGTAAATAAAAGCAAAGAAATATCAAGCATATGGTTAAAATGAGAAAAAACAAACAAATAAATAAAAGAATTACTGATGGCCTGTAAACATGTTCCTTGCTTGTGTTCCAAGAGGAATACCTGATGAAAAAGCTGACCGGATAAGATCTCCACACCAACAGTATGAAAGTACATGAACATCAGTTTTAATATTTTCATTTTTCAGAAGCTTGGTGAAGAACTCTCTGCAACCATCTTGAAGGATCAGGCTCTGACCAGCTCGTTTTATCCCCTCTTGATTCAACCCCTTTAACACTCCTGACTGAACAACCCTTAAATTTGCTTTCTTCTCAAAATCAGAAAATTGCTCAAGGGCTTCACACAAACCTTCATAATTAAATTCCCTTCCTGTAAATATAAGTTTTAGAAATATCAGGAAATAATTCCCCTCAACAGCAATGCCATTAACAATTCTTGCAGCAAACATTTCTAATTTAATGAAGCACACAAATCAAGAAGAAATCTAGTAACTATTCATCAAACCTGTATGAGGGGTGATGCTTTCCATGCATTGTTCAAACTCTTCAGTGTATTGAGCAGAAAGAGCACTCCATTTGATTTTCAAATCAGCTGATGACATCCGAGTGAGATGGGTTTGAGATCCATCAGGACCAACCTTTGGTGCTGTTACAATTGCTATCTCTGCTAAAATTGCAGAAGAATCAAAAGCAGTGCAAGTCAAGTCAAAGTCACAGAATATGGTGAGCTGGCCACTGACAGGTTCTTGCAGTTGTGATAAAGGGACTACTATTTGCTGGGCAATAGGTTGAGAAGAGAAGAAATCTACTTCAAGTCCCATAGCTTGATGATAGAGTTTCTCTATGACTTCAAGTTCTTCACTTGTTAAAGAGACACTTAGTGCATCCAGCAAGTCTTCAGCTTGCATGACAGAGGCCTGAAATCAGGACTGAGAAATATGAAATCCTTTCTCCAATAATGGATACAAGTATTTTCTTTGATCAGCAAGGTATCAAGTAAACATCATGGAAGAACTTAGTACTGAAATAGTCTGATGAACCTCAAAATTTTCTGAGCAATAGCTATCAATCCACTTCTTGTAAATGTGACTGTTATCACTAGGGTCTAGAAGAGCCTGGATCTCTTTATGTATAAAGGAAAAGAGTCTCAAACAGGGTGCAATTGCGCCAAGTGTATAAGCTGCAACTTTTGTCTTCTCGAAAGGAGTAGCAATTTTACCAGGAACTTTTTCTTCTCCAATTTTACCTGAGGCTGTTGCCAACAAAAAATCTGTATATTTGACTGTTGGATTGTTGGCGGTGCACTCTGTTGGCAGTTCAAAGCCCCAATCCTGCAATATAAATTAATTTGAGAATCAATACAAAAGAAAAAACATAGGCAAAAAAGGAAGAAAGAGATGTGCATTGCAAGGAAAAAATAGTTATCAAGAAGATTCATATCAATTGGCACCAAAGCTATAGACGAACTTGAAAAACATCATCGTCTCTGCTCCTAGCAAGGATGCACCCATGTTGTTGTTGAGCCCCAGTATTTTCACTAAAAGGGACAAGGCTGCTGCTCACTTGAAAACCCCCCCTTTTTCTATTAAGCTAAGGGACTGGTTTTGCAATTGATAGCACATAACAAGGACGTAAGGAAGTGTAAGATTCACATGACTTGAAAAGCCAATTTATCATGAGAAAAGCAACGTTTTGAAATCAGACAGAATATTTCTAACAGACAAAGCAACTCTGCAACTCAAGCTCTTTCAAGTTCTCAAAAGATGTACCTTAACACCTTTGAAAATAATTCCTAAAACACAAATGACTATCAAAAGCCAATAAGATTTATTTTTTGGCTCAAATGCCTTATGACATAACCATTTGAATGGCTTGCCCAACCAAATCTTTCAGGACACAAAATAAAGAGATGCAAGCATAACAATAACTTAGGACTTTGATAAATAAAATAAAATACAACAAATGAGGAAAGTGCATAAAGCTTACTCGGACGATAGAATCAAAGGATTTAATCTTGTCTTTCATACGTATCCTCAACTTACGTATTGCATTCTTGTCTTCTTCATCGTCTGCACAATCCTCAGCCAATTCATACCTTAAAAACACAGAAACAAATTTGAGAATTTGAGAAATTCCAGCTCTAACATAAACTAGTCTAATTTCTTCCAAAACCTATTATTAAGTCGAGTTGAGATCAATTGTACAATTTGAATTTTCCATATGATCAAAATCAGAACCACGTAAAAACATCAGGGATTTTATCGTATCAATTGAGCAATTTAAATTCATGAATTTGAGATAAGATACTCACGCCTGAGCGAACGCATTGAGTAAATGAACATCCTGAGAAATGAAGTGAAGGAAGGTGGCGGTCTCCAGATTGCCGGACGCCAAACAGACGAAGAACGGAGTGTACAGAGCAAAAACCGACTCGTTCTTGAACTTCGTCCAGAACCTCGTCGCTAATCGTCCGTCAACGTCCAACCCTCCCATCGCTCCCTCTCTCAACAACGACGTCGTTGCCGCTCCTTCCTTTACCTCTCTATCGGCGATCTCCGAATCAGCAGGACCGCAACAACCGTTCCGGATCGCAGAGAATCGGCGATGGCGTGGAGATTCCGACGGAGCAACAGAAAGTGAGGAAGTGGAGAGAGTTGGTGAATGGATTGTTTTAGACGCTTGATCTTGAGCTTAGAGAACGGAGATCGTTGTATATATAATATAGAAAGGTCCGATTAGGAGGAAATCGGAGAATTTGGGGCCGGCGGTCAACGAAAGGGAACATGAAGGTCGCGGTAGCCGTGAGAGAAAGAGTCAGCTTTGCTCTCTCATTTTCTGCAACAGTGTTCTTTCCTTTGTGAGAGAATTGAGCAAGGAGAAAAAAATAGATGTGATCAAGTCTGCCACGTCGGAAGTTGGAGGACTCGGCGTGTAAAGTTGGAGGACGTGGCTGTATTTATGAAAATGAACAAGGGAAAATTACACTTCACCCCCTTATAGCTTGGAGAATGTACATTCCCCCCCTCCAATTTTTTGGAAAAGTGTTTTCCACTTGTCTCCACGACTATGCTTTCATTTCTTTTTCTTTTTCTTTTTTTACGTCAAAATATGTGTTATATTAGGAAAATATTTTAAAGATAATTTTTTATATTATTTTTTAATTTTATATATTATTTAAATTATTAATTAATTTATTTATTTAAATTTATCATGTTAAATATATTTATTTATTTAATAATATGTAAAAATTATAAAAAAAATTATATTAAAAATCATTTTTATATCATCACCTTATTATATAATAAAAAATAACATAGACTTTTCAAACTTCCCTTTATCTATTTCACAGTTTAAATTTAAGATCCTCATAAAAATTTCTTTTTCATACTTTTTTTAATTCTAAAATGACAATTTAATTTAAATTTTGTGTATGTAAAGGTTACCACACAAATAAAGCAACTGGTCTTGTCAATTATCTCTCACTAAAGAAGAAGAAAAAATTCTTTGATATAATCATAATGTGTGTATATATTTTATCTAATGATAAAGTCAACAAAAACTTTAACATGTAAAACAAAATAAAATGTGACCATTATATTATAATTGTAATAATTAATAGTGATATATATCTACAATATAGAGTCTAGTTCTTTCTCATTTATTTTTATTTGTGTTGAATTATTATTATTATTTTATTATATTATTAATATCGTAACATTGCTATCTAAGAGACTTTAAATGCACAAAATTGATTTGGAGAATGCACCATATATGTAGCCTTTTAAGTCCTGTGGCTAACGGATCAATGACAAAAGAGTTATGTGCAGCTTCTTTACACTAGAGGGAAAAATGCACATGCCTAAAAACCACAAAGGGTAAAGTAATTTGCTCAAACAGAAAATGTGTTCATCATCGCTCCCCCTTTTTTATATGCACCAAATATATTTACAAAAAGTGTTATAGGGATAATTTTTTTATATTATTATTTTATACAATTTTTACATATTATTAAATGAGTAGATATATTCAATATCATGAGTTTCATATGAATTAAAAGAATCAACCATTTAAATGACAAAACAAATTATATAAAAAAAAATTATACAAAAATCATTTCCCTATATTTATTATCCCTTTTGTTTAGCTGTAGTTGTAAATTATTCTTTCTTGTAATTCTTCTTATTTTTTTCCTTTAGAGATTTGAGTAGCTTAATCATTAATTTTTTATGAGTTGGATATTTTACAGATATAATAAAATAATAAATATTAAATAAAAAATAATTTTTAATATTAATAATTTATCTATTATTTAATGATTTATATTGTAGTCTACATTATGTAACAATTTTAATTTTTGATTTTGTTAAATTTTCATGTTTAAAATGAATAATTAATTTCATGCATTATCAAACTTAAATGAGCAAAGGAAGATTTGAGATTGCCTTTCAAGTGATCAAATCATGTTGACAAAATGCAATAAATAAAAAATAAATAAATTGACATACGAGCAGCAGACAGTTAAAGGTTTTGCATGAATCCTGGCGAGAAACAGGAGAATTCGGTGCATTCTATAAAATCAAGTGCATTGAATGTGTAGATTTTTATGTTTTACAAGCAAATTAAACGATTGGCTGTTGGAAATTCAAGTCTCAACAAGAAAACCATGTTTCTTGAGATAAAATGCCGAAAATCATGTAAATTTGATTAGAAACTTAAGCATAGTATAATAATAATTTATTATTATATGATTAATTTTTTTATTTAAAAACTTACTCGTAATTTTTTTTTATATTAATCTCTTAATATATATTAATCACATTAAATTTCGATTAATTTAAAATTAAGTCACGTCAAATCCCATAAAAAAATTTTTTTTTGATATCTATTTCTTTATTTACAAAACTCAAACTCGAAATCTTATTTAAAAAAAATTCAATTTCTTCTATTCGGACCAATAAGTTGTTGGTTTTTCTTGTAATTTGTATATATATAATAAAATATTATAATTTTAACATTTTAATTTTATAGAATATGGACATGGTAAATATATCATTATTGTTAATAAAATCAATGATAGATGGTAATTTTATCTCACAATACAATATCACAATATTATTTGATTATAATTCTAATTAAAATTTTTCAATCGGTAGGTACCTAAATTAGTCTGTATAAAATTCAGGGTGAATGGGTTACATTTTCCTTAGTCATACAACTGGGTAAGAAAGGGTAAAGTTGTATTATTATTTCACAGAAACATATACCAATTAAGTTAAATTACAAGCACCTGGCCTTTGAGGCATAGTGGCATTAGTCATCTGTGCATTCCCCTCCTCTCTGGACAGGATTCGAAACCCACCCCTTGCAAAATATGTTCAAAAAATTAAGTTAAAGTTACAAATTCAGCTCAAGGCCCTATTGTCCATTCCAAAATTCGTTAACTCACAATAACCCTCATAAAGTAATACAAAAATTGTATGGTTCGCAATCTCAAGGATTAGATTTATTGATAAATAAATATTATCTTAAAAATTAAATTTAAAATTTAAGTTTTGAGATTAATATTTAAAAAAATTAATATTTTTCAATACACTAAGTTACTATAGAGATGTACCTTTAAAATTATTTAAGGATGAATTAATCTCAAAATACATAAAAGTTATCTCGAAAAAAATCCATTAGGCTTGCCCTTTTACCATATGAATGTCATCATGGTTAAAATATTAAATTTTTATATCGAAAATTTAAAATACAAATCTTATGTTTTTCTATTTGGTATAGTTTATAAAAAATAATTTAGGAATAATAGTTTTATATTATTTTTTTGTAACTTAAAAAATTATTTAAATGATTTATTTTATTTATTTATTT